GATCTGAATCTGAAATAGGAGTAGAAGATAAAACAGGAATAGAATCTGACAAGACAGTAGTGGAAGAAGAGTTACCTGAAATTTTCAAGGAGCCGTTGTCCAAGGATTCTGATTGACTTTGCACTGGGATGATAGGAATGTCTCTATTTCCTTCAGGGATCTTCTTTCTAGTATAAACTAAAAACTCAAAATTCGGATTAAATTTATCCTTTTGTAGTATTTCCTTCTCTGTCGGTGACAAACATGATTTGTCAATGTCAGCATTGGCATCTTGAATATTGTTTTCTTTTTTCTGAAAAGAATTATCGATTTGTGGAGAAGAAACATCGACTATTGTACTTGGTAAAGGTGCAGATTTTTCCCAAAAATTATCTTCTTTTGCACCTATGTTCTCCCCATGAAGAAATTTTTTTGGAAAAAATGGAGTATTTTCCAAAAAAAGTGACATCCATAGTAATATGGAATTTTTTTGTTTGGGGGTTAAAACATTTATACCCTTTTTGGTTAAGGGGCATACCCTAAAAAGACACATTTTTCCGCTCTCGGGTCTAATTTAGATTGAAATTTGTTTGGTATGTGAATAAAAATCGTGCAACCAAAAATCTTTAAAGGTAATGCTGAATTAGTTCTACAGTTTGGAAATTCCTTTTTCAAGCAAGCTAATGGAGTGACATACTGTAGAACTCGTGTAGGCATTCGGTTGATCAAATAAGATGCAGTCAGAATAAATATTTTGGAACAATCATATAAAACATTATTGCACGGACTACTTCAAGTAAATGTTTATTTTTTCTCTCGGCTATTCCATTTTGTTGAGGGGTATCACGACATGAAGATTGATGAGAAATACCTTTTTCTTGTAAAAAAGATTTCAAGACTTTATTAAAATACTCCTTTCCATTGTCAGATCGAAGTATACTAATTTTTGTTTGAAATTGATTTTCAATCATATTGTAAAAGTCTCTGAATATTTTTTCAACTTCAGACTTATCATGCATTAAATAAATCCAACACAGTCGGGTATGGTCGTCTATAAATGTCACAAACCACCTTTTCCCTGACATAGTAGTAACCCTTGAAGGTCCCCACACATCACTATGAAATGAATAGAATGGTTTTGATGCACGATAAGGTTTAGAAAAATAGGTTGCACGATGACTTTTGGACGATGACTTTTAGATAGGAAAAACTGGGATGGCCTAATCTGCAATGCCAAATCATTATTTGTTCGCGAACAGGGTTAGAACTGATACTACTCAAGCCTTGAGCTTCTTTATTACAAGATAGATTATCAGTGAAATAGTAGAGACCATTTATCATCCTAGCATTGCCAATCGTCCTCCCCGAGCTCCGGTCCTGAAAAGTACAATAAGATTCAAAAAAGGTAACACAACAATTAGAATCTCTGGATAGTCTGCTTACTGACGAGATTGCAGGCAAGTTTAGGAACATGAAGAACAGATTTAAGATCTATTATTTTTGATATTTTTATTAAGCCTTTACTTGCAATCGATGAAAACCTACCATCTGCAATTCTAACCTTTTCATTTCCAGAACATGGTGAATAAGATTTAAATAAATGTGAAGAACTAGTCATATGGTCAGTGGCTCTTGAATCAATTATCCAAGGGGTGGATGAATTCAGACGACAAGATAGGGTGTTAGGTTCATTACCAGTCTGAGCCAAGGTAACACTAGGAGTACCAGATGATGAATTGGACTGTAGTAGTGTAAGGAGATGCTCCATTTGCTTCTTAGTAAATGGGCTGATTTCGGCCTCATTAGCAGTGGGGAAAGCTCGACCAGATCTGTCCCCAGGTTTTCTGTTCTTCCAGTTTGCTGGTTTGCCACGAAGTTTCCAGGAATTTTCTCTGGTGTGACGTGGTTGGTTGCAATAGTCACACCAGTCCCGTGGTTTGTCATCATTCTTGCGTTGGTAAGTTACTGCCCTGCTGGACTTTGCAGCCACTAAGGCAGAGGTCTCAACAACAGCACTGGGTCCCTTTTTGCCAAGCATCACATTCCTTCGACTCTCTTCTCTCCTTACCGCCGAAAAGACATCACCAATTGGAGGAAGGGGCTGTCTTCCAATGATTCTGCCCCTTACTTCATCAAATTCAATATTGAGGCCAGCAAGGAATTTAAAAATCCGATTGTCCTCAACAATTTTCTTGTGATGCTTGCTATCTTCAACAGATTTCCATTCATAGGTGTTGAAAAGATCAAGATCTTGCCACACCCGTCTTAAAGAGTTGAAATACTTGGTGACAGTGTCGTCTCCTTGACGCATCTCACCAAGTTTGAGGGTCAACTCGAAGATTTGAGATTGATTACTCAAATCTGAATACATCTGGTTCACATTCTCCCAAAGTTCTTGTGCCATTGGATAGCACATATAGTTTGAACTAATATCTTCTTCCATAGAATTAACAAGCCATGTCATGACCATGGAATTTTCAGCATTCGAAGTTGCATAGGACGGATCATCTTCTGCAGGGGCTGTATTTTTACCAGTCAAATAGTCTATCTTTCCACGCCCTCGGATGTACATGCGAACCGACTGAGACCAACGCAAAAAATTATCACCATTCAAGCGAATAGTGGTGATTTGAACAGAGTGAGACTCGGAGTTGGTTCCACTACCTTTTGACGGGTTTGTACTAGAGGAGGATGGTGCGACAACAACCGATTCAATTGAAGCATCAGACATGGTGTTACAACCGAGAACAAAAAACTGGGAAACTGGAAGAAAAAAGGAACAATAGAGGAGAACAAGAAGGAGTCAGCACGCGGTTGTTGGCTCTGATACCATAAAATAATGAGAGAGTAATTTGGAATTGATTCTTTCTATTGAATTGAATGATTTCTGACTTACATGGATTCCTATTTATAGGAGTTACAGGAACTAAAAATTAGGGAAATAATACCTAAACAAGGTAAATAACAACTAATTAGTTTACCTAATAAAGATGCATTCTAAATTTACAATGATTGACAAATTACTTCCTAATTTATAGCTATTCAATTTTGGTAATTGCTGTCAATTATCTTCTTGATTTCCAACACTAGGAATAAAGTAGACATTTAATGGAACTTTACATTACCATGACCATTTTTGATTGCCACGGTACCTCTGCCTTCTACTTGCATCTGTTTGTCATCTCTAAGTTTCACCTTTATCTTGTATGTCTCATCAAACTTTTTGAATAATGACTTTATACCAGTCATGTGATTAGACCATTATGAGTGGTTGTATCTTCATGATAGGCCATGAATAACTTGACTTCCTTTTTCTCTTCTTTGGCATAGTTTGATTGCTTGCCCTTTTCCTAGCATTTTACCTTTACATGCCCAAACAGTTTGCAATGATAACACCGAATACCATCCTTATTGTTTCTCTGTTGATCACTAGTTTGCCCAACCACCTCTGCTTTGACCGCCTCTGCCTCGAAATCCTTCTCTTCCACTTCCTCTACTAGCTGCCTCTCTTGGTTAATTGGATGGCTCCCTCATCACTTGAAATGCTTTCTCTTCAGTTTTCTCATTTGATTTATTCATTCTTTCATCATGAGAGTGCGAAGAGCCCATTAATTCATCAAATGAATATGTAGATAAATCTTTGGACTCTTCAATGGCTGCAACTACATGATCAAACTTTGGAGCTAGACTTCTCAAGACTTTTGCAACTATGGTTTGATCAGTAATTTCCTCTCCAAAGGATCTCATTTGGTTTGCAATTGCACAAACATTAGAAAGGAAATCATGTACAGATTCTCCACTTTTCATATGTAAAGTTTCAAAATCACGGTGAAGAGATTGAAGTTTCACCGTGGTCACCTTTTCAGAACCTTGGAACACCTTCTGCAATATTGTCCAAGCTTCGTTTGCTGTACCTGCTACCGCAATTTTTGAGAAAATACTCTCGTGAACTGCTTGTTGAATGAAGAATAATGCCTTAGAATCCTTCTTCTAATTTTCTTTCAACCCGGTCTCCTCATCTAGGTCAGGATATCCATTCTCAACCAAGTCCCAAAGATCTTGAGACTTAAACAAAGTTTTCATTTTAATGCTCCAGAATTCATAGCATTCTCCTTTGAAGACTGGAATTGAAGGTTGAGAAACATTCACGACATTGCCGTTAGTCGTCATGAGTTCTATACCCAGTTAAGAAAGAACGAGGCTCTGATACCCCAAATGTTGGAAATTTAGAGGAGCTAAAACAAAGAAACAGAAAATTTGCAGAGAAGAGAGAAAAAAATGCAGAGAAAATACTGATTTTTGTTCTGCTTTATTCCAGAAATGAGAATGCCTATTTATAGGCTTACAACCGAACTGAAAGGAGCTAAAAAACCTCAACTAATCATCACGTTTATTGCCACTAATTTAAACTAACTTTGACCAACTAAAACCAGAAAATAAGGAGCAGATATTTCAGCATCTATGACTCGGTCTAACTGGAAATTAACGTATGACTATTTTGAACTAACCTTCAACAGGGATAAGATTATTGTTTGAATGGAGCGCTTGCAGTGGAAGCAAATAGGAACATAGCTACTGAAAGTGAAATGTTATTGTAATTTCTGACATGAAAATGGGTCAGGGTGTAGGCAATTGCAGTTGAAAGCAAAGGAAATGTTTGGGGATGTAAATTTTGTGTTGGAACTTCTCTTTTATATACGTTTTTTTTCCATTTCCATTTTATCCGGCACTTTTTACCATCTAAATAAAGCAGAAATTCGGAAAACCAATTTAATTGCTCTTTTTTTTTTTTTAATCATATAAGTGCAAGAGCGCCTATTCATGCCTATCAGCACTTGCATTGTGCTGCTCTACAGCTGTAGTAAACAAGTCAATTGAAGTTACTATATGAAGTCAAAGATGATAAACTGAGATTTCTTTTCACAGAAATAACTTGCTACAACCTCTTTCTCATTTTGCTGGAAACAATATATAATTTTATTTGCATTTTATTTACTTAGATTAATATATATGTTTTGCAGTTGGAAACAGGAAGATGGCAAAGCCAGCTCAATCTCTCTTTCTTGAAGAATGGTTGCGGAGCATCAGTGGCAGCAGCAACAACAGTGCTTCAGTACATTCTTCGTCCTCATCTGCTCGAGTCATCATCCAAGCTTGGGCTGATCTTAGAGATTCACTCCAAAATCACTCCTTCCACACACATCATCTCCAAGCTTTAAAGACCCTTGCTAATTCTCAAATCTCCCTTTTTGTTGCAGAACCACAAGCGAAACTTCTAGTTAGTATTTTATCTTCTCCAGACCTCTCTCTTCCACTGGAATCTTACCCATTATTTTTTAGGCTTCTGTATATCTGGGTTAGGAAATCATCTAGACCGACTGCTGCAGTTATTGATTCTGCTGTTGAGGTCCTCTTGCATATTTTCTTTAGGCAATTTGATTCTGACAAATGCCCTCTTATCTTCTCAGAAGGAATCCTCCTTTTGGGTTCCTTTTCTTTCCAACCGTCTGCATCTGAGAAATCTAAAAAGGTCTGCTTGGAGTTACTCTCTAGGCTATTGGAAGAAGAAAATAGTTCTATTTTATTGTCTGATGAACTAACTTCGAGTGTTCTTGCCGGGACTGGATATGCTTTATCTTCTTCCGTGACTGATTATTTTGGAAAAATTGTAGATAATTTGTTTGGAATATGGGGCAAAGAAGATGGCCCCTCCAGTAGTTTGTCTCATGGGCTCATGATGCTGCATTTGTTTGAGTGGGTTCTGTCTAATTTCTTCAGTTTGCAATCCTTTGAACAAATAGATCTTGTAAGAGATATTTTGGAAAATGTTAAGCCAGCTCATGTTGTATTTGCTGTAGTCATGACTGCAGGGGGAGTACTAAGGGCTCTTAATGGATCTGGCTTAAGTGGTTTCATGGAGCTTAGGAATTCTGCTGAGAAACGAATTGAGATTATTGGAAGATACGTGCTTTCTAGAACTAAAGGTTTTAACCATTCTGGAAATGAACCTAGAGACAGCCTTCTCTTACAGAGCATAGCATTAGCTTTGGCTCGAAGTGGTTCAATTTCCTACCGGACTTCTCTGTTAGAGTGTCTTGCTTCAGCACTATTGACTGAAGTATTCCCTTTGCATCACATCTATAATAAGGTCCTTAAACTACTGCAAGAAAATTGGCAAGGGTATGTGCTTGATGAGGTAAAAGCACATCTAACCAGTGTCATTTTCAAGGAAGCAGGAGCCATAGCTGGTGTTTTTTGTAATCAGTATGTCTCAGCTAACGAAGAGAACCAGGCTACAGTAGAGGATCTCGTATGGCATTTCTGTCAAGATGTCTACTTGTGTCACCGACAGGTAGCATTGTTGCTTCAAGGCAGGGAGGATGAGCTTACCACGGAGATAGAGAAAATTGCTGAGTCTGCCTTCCTTATGGTTGTGGTCTTTGCATTGGCAGTCACAAAATGCAGGTTAGACTCTAGAACCAACCAAGGAACTAAATTACAAATTTCAGTAAGAATCTTGGTCTCATTTTCTTGTATTGAGTATTTCCGCCGGATGCGTTTGCCTGAGTATATGGATACAATTAGAGCAGTTGTTGTAAGCGTTCAGGAGAATGAATCAGCATGTGTCGCATTTGTCGAATCAATACCTTCGTATGATGATTTGACCAATAAACATGGTATTGACTTGATCTTTGCACATCCTTAATTGTCAGTTGTATGCAGTTCTCATGCCTAATTCAGCACTTGCCTTACAGGTTGGTCCAACTTGCCAAAAGTGGGATATCTGTGGTCCACTGATGAGGTGCAGACGGCTCGAATCTTATTTTACATGCGTGTTATTTCGACTTGTGTTGAACAACTACCTGCCTCTGTATTTAGGAAGGTGGTGGCTCCCACTATGTTCCTGTATCCTAAACTGGAATGACCACATTTATGAACAACAAAACAATTTAAATTGATTAGTATTGATAGTTTTCTGTTCCTTAACATGTATATAGATACATGGGACACCCAAATGGAAAAGTTGCAAGATACTCACATTCGATGTTTGTGGCTTTCATGTCTTCTGGGAAAGATACTAATCAGGATGAAAGAGTTCAGCTTAAGGAGCAACTGGTTTTTTATTACATACAAAGATCACTAGAGGTATCTGAATTTTGAAATATTTTGCGCATCAAATTTGACTTTAGTCAATGACTAAGAAGTTCTGTTTGATCAACCAAATTGGATATACAGGGATATCCAGGGAGTACCCCATTTGAGGGGATGACTTCTGGTGTTGCTGCACTTGTTAGGCATCTTCCTGCTGGAAGTCCATCCATATTTTATTGCATTCACTGTGTAGCTGAAAAAGCTAATAGCCTTTGCAGTTTAGTCAGTTCTCGTGAAACTGATCTGTGGAAGAACTGGGAAGGAGAGTTGGAACCTGCTAAGAAAGTGTTAGATTTGCTTTTGCGGCTGCTTTCCCTTGTTGATATACAGGTATAAATATTCGAATTTTTCATCTTTGACTGGAGGTTTACTGCAGAATGTTTACTCTGTTATAATATTTTTTGGTTCATAGATTAGATGCAGTACGTATGGCCCATTTGTAGAGGTGTCAAAACATGCAGGTCAGACCCGCACCCCATGTGCACCACTCTTTAAAGGGGAAAAAATAAAGTAAAAGAGAGAACTTGTGCCAAACAAGATAAAAGTGCACGGCACGGGAAAATACCCAGCATACCAAAATAAAAGGGCCGTGCAGCTTGACACCTCTAAAAGTAGTGTCGGGAGCATTTACTCGTTTAGCCTGATGTTAAAAGGTGTTAAAATTAAGTGTGTCTTATGCAGGTTCTACCAAGTTTGATGAAGTTATTGGCTCAGGAGATTGTCCAACTACCTGCTATTGGACAGAACACAATTCTTAATCAGTTATATCAGCATGTCGCAGAATCCGATGATGTTACTAGGAAACCAACGCTTATTTCGTGGCTGCAGTCTCTGTCTTACCTTTGTGCTCAAGGTACTCGTAAAAAATCATCTACATTTGTGGGAGAAGCATTATCACGGCTATAACGACACAAGATGCATTTTTTAACAATATACCCTTCATTATGATGCAATTTGTTAGAAGTTTATCAAACCATTTGTTACTCAACTTTTGAAATAGGTCTAGAATGCAATAAAACTTAGGAAGTATACTAGTTATCAAGTATCTGTACTGGTTAAACATTAGTGCTAATTATGTTATATAGAGGGAAGTTTCAGTTATTACTAGTACAGTTCTTCTCCGTTTTCCAGATCTGTTGGTTTTTTCTAATTTTTATATTTCTGCTTGGACTGCCCTCACCCCAACCCAACCCACCCCACCTCACCTCCACCTCCACACACACACACACACACAAAGTGAGAAAGATTAAAGGATGAGTAATTAGAAATTTGGTCAGAAAATTTGAATTCAGGTGAGGCAATGTGTTAAAGATAAATACAAAGAACTAAGTTTATTTATTCTCGCTGTCGATTCAACATTATTTATATCGATAAACATACCACTAGCAAATAAAGTAAGAATATGCAAGGCTAAATGAGAAATAATGAAAACAAACAAGCTAAATATTGCAGAACATTCTCCCTCCAATACATTCAGATTGTGACGCATGACAACATTCAAATTTCATCCGTTTGCACTCGTTACTGGAATTGCAAGAAGTGGTTCTGCTTTCTGAAGTGTTATCCCAAATTTGTCCTTCATGTCCATGTCCTTTGGCTCCACCCCATCTGCCAATTTCCACTCAAATTTATGAACAAGATTAGCCAATATTAAGCTCACCATTCTCCCCGCAAGATTCAGTCCGGGGCAAATTCGTCTTCCAGCACGAAATGGTATAAATGAAAAGTCTTTGCCTCTGAAATCAATATCTGAATTCAAGAATCTTTCTGGCTTAAATTTTGTTGGCTCATACCAGTTAGTTGTGTCCCTTGAAATAGACCATGTATTCACAAGAATTTGGGTGTGTTTCGGGATAGTGTATCCAGAGATTTGTACATCTCTCTCGGCCCGATGAGGCAGGAGGAAGGGTGCGGTAGGATGAAGCCTCATTGTTTCTTTTATTACTGCTTCTAAATTGGGAAGCCGCGAAAGATCTTGTTCTTTGACATTTTCTTTTGAACTGAGTTCTGCAGATAGTTCTTGTTTTACCTTGGTGAGTATGGGTGGATTGTGGAGGAGCTCCGCCATCGCCCACTCCATGGTGGTGGTGGTCGTATCCGTACCTCCAATGAACAAATACTGGCATTATATATAGGGACGTGTTACGCGGGAGTCACAGTTTAAATAAATAAATTTATCTCTTCTAATAGTTTGAGCTTTTATGAAAAAAATTGTACATAGAGATCAAAGGCATATTTCAAGTGGTAATAGGAAAGCTTTACAAAATTATTGACATGGGTTCGAGTCTCTTTTGCAAGGTAAGGATGAGAACTAAGAATAAAAATAAAAATAAATTGTACGTGTTAAAGAAATAAATTCGTCCTCTAAATAAAATGGTTCACAAGTAAAAGGTAGTGATTGCTCGGGTCGATAGCAACACTGTCCAAATGGTTTCTATTAGGAAATTCTTTTGGGTATCTAATGAAACGTCAATGCAATGATCTTCTCAAATGCAACATTTTGAAAATTTTATGCTGGAAAATTGACTTTTATAGAATAAAAATAGACAGTAAACTAGAAGATTAACCATGGAATACGAATAATCAAAATATATACATTTATCTTACTCACTATGAGAATGATGAAATGAGTTATATTTTATTATAACTTGTCAGATGTCTTTAAATAGTTAAGAATTGTGATACACGTATAGGTACTAGTTCACATAATCCGTACCGAACACTCACATACACCGGGTGGGTGGAGTTTTTTTTATTTTATTTTATTTTTATTTTTATTTTTATTTTAAATACAAGTGGGCCCCGTGTAAGACTCATTGAGTCATTGTTTGTAAGTGTTCATAGGGGTTCTTTTCACCTAACCCCTATACACTCATCATTTTTCAATAGTTAAATGCCAACTTTTCCAATACCATTTTTCCCTCTCTCTTGCTTGTTTGACACTGTTACTTTCACTCCATTTTCGCACTATTTGGGAAGACGTCAAATGCCGTCTCGTCTATAAACTCGTGAATATAATACAGAACGAAATCTTGTCTACCAAGATAAGACGTTCAGATACATTAAAAAATGAAAGTCAAAAAGATCTCATTGTCCATGTGGTGTTGCTGGTTTGTTACATTAAAAGATGTATTGTCGTACATGATCTCTTAGCCGCGAAAGCTGGTGTAATAATTCTAAGAAGGTCCCGTCTAGGTGTTAATGTTTCCTGTTGCCTAATAATCATGTTGTCTACTTATCCGTTTCATTCTGATCCCGACTTGATTTGGTGTAGAACCCAAGGTGATAATGTTTTCGACTTTTCATTCCTCGATTCAACTGACGAATCTACGGGGGACTGAACTGTGTTACAGCTCTTCCCCCAACACAATTTATAATTTAAAATAAATAAATTTGTACGAATTTTTATATTTTATTATCATTTTTTGTATATTAGTCCGTCCTAAATTTTTTTTGGATCAGAGATTATGATGCCTAATAATCATGTTGTACGCTTACCCTTTTCATTTCAATCTTGATGTGATCTGGTTAAAAAGTGATAATCATTCTGATTTTTCATTTGTTGATATGTGTTGGTGTAGTACTATCACAATGTTAGACTATGGAGCCTAATCATATTTTGCATACATTTTTCATTGTGATCTTCCTAAGTCTCTACAATAGTATCTTCTCTATATTGAAAACCCTATAATGGTAAGCAGATATACATCTCGTATTCATGTTGAACCACTATATATGTATGAGTTGTTTTAATATTTTCATTCCATTTATTATTATCTATCCTATATCGTTAACATGGATAGTCTTCGTTTCTATTTCCAATGCAGAAACAATAAAGAAAAACTTACCATAAGCAAAAGATTGACATCAAGATGATCAAGTTTATCAGGTCCGTGTTCATCAGTGTGATCAAGAAGAACATCCAAGAAATCCCCAATCCAACTTGATCCAGAAGCCCTACGTTTCAGCCGTTTATCAATCATCTCATCGATTAGATCATGCAACCGATCGTATGATACCTTGATTTCACTCCTTATTCCTTGAAGATCGAATGGTTTCAAAATAGGAAAATAATCTGAAATATTAGGTTTCCCTGCAAGCTCCATTATTTTTGCCATGAGCTCTTTCAACTCTTTCATTGCATCAGATTTTGGATCAAGCATGTCATCAGAAAACATGGTGTTCGACAACAAATTCAACGTCGTCCCAAACACCAACCTGTTAGAAATTACGTCGTCTAAGAACTATGAAGAAGAAGACCCTATCTAGAAAGTGAGAAAATTCGGAACTAAGTACACCATCAAACTTGTTGAGGTCACCTCAAGAAAATATCCTTGCTGGGACTTTGTACCTACGCTCATACCAAATCGTTAGATGGTACACCAGAAGCGTTTCCGGTTAACTTCTAACTTGATAGTCGGAGGGTCTGTGTTAAAAACCCTTCCGGCAATACTCTCTAAGGTTTGGTTGTGAGCGCAAGTATAACAAGGATATTTTCTAGCAATTATTGTACTCGTACAGATAGATTGACAACCCAGAAATCTGAATTTCAAATCAAGGCACGCATGCATCTGTCAATTTATCTGTACAAAAATTATGTACATATAGCAAAATTCATTTTCTCGAGGTCCTTAATGTTCCAGAAAAAGACCTCAACAAAGTTACAAAACTATATATTAAGAAAGAGCAGGCATAATATCACAAACCTTCCTACATGAACGGCTTCTTGAGTTTCCCGGGCTTCGTCTACTCTTGCAATCATGTTTTTCATCGTCATATGCCTCAAATCTTGCAATGCATCCAATCTTTGTATTGTAAGAATCTGACTTTGGCAGATTTTTCGCAATTTTTTCCACTGCGGGCCACCCGAAAGCCACGCTATCGACAGTTCATAGCCCTTTTCTGCAGTAATAGAATCTGGTATAGGCCTTCCCAAGAAGTTTTGATCATTCTTCCGAAGAATTTCTTTAGCCATTTCTCTTGAAGAAGCAACTACAATGTTGACATAGCCAAGTTTTACTGTCATTAGAGGGCCATAGATTTTTGCTAACTTGGCTAAGGATTCATGGGGTCTGTCCCCAACTGTGATAAGATTTCCAATTATTGGGAGGCCTACTGGCCCTGGTGGGAGATTCTTGTTTTTGAACAATTTTTTGGCAGTGGCATGAATGCATATTATTAGGAGAGGGAGAAGAAAAAAACCATAGAATTCCATGTTAAAATTTGAGTGATTTGTTTTAAAATTAAGTTATTTGTACTTGTTGGCTTATACTTTGGTTTAATCGACCCCACTCCTCCTCTCACATCGGGTTGGATTCCACGTGGGGGCTCGACTCCCACGTGAGAGGAGGAGGTAGGGTCGGGTAACCCAAAGTGTAAAATGACATATACAAACAGCATGACCTTTGTTTTAAAAGCAAGCCCTCGTTATATAGAGTGGGACTCGATCCCCATGTGAGAGGAGGAGGTAGGGTTGGGTAACCCAAAGTGTAAAATGAAGTACAAATAGCATGACCTTTGTTTTAAGAGCAAGTCCTCGTTATATAGAGAAGGGAGAGTGGAGAAAAAATTTGATGATCTCTCCTGGTTTGACCATCAAAATTTTTTTTGGACCCACAAGATTTTTCAATTCGGACCGAAGAAGCAATATCCTCTTATCACTATCAAAATGAATATAAATAATCTTTTATGTTCATAAACATCTCACTAGTTTGTGTTGAATACAACGAGAAAAGAGAGAGGGATGATTTTAAAAAAAAATCCATTGTGTAAAAAATCAAAATTGTTATTGACATTTTTGATTGATAATTTCGTCGTGAAATGTAAATAATTTTGTAATTCGAAGAAATCCACAAATTTGGGGAAAATGCTATTTTAATTGCAATATAAAAAGAGATCACACGTGTATTTGACTTTGACTTTGACTTTTAGTATGCATCACATGTTCAAGAGAAAAATAAGATAAATTTGGAGGGTTTCATTTTATTTTTATTTTTTTCATTATTTTACAATGAAAAGCCAAATACTTTTGTTTGTCTTGGTCAAATTACAAGTGACAACCAAGGCCCATCGAACAAGCTTTTTTTAACTTTTCGATATTTTTAAAATAATTGTCATTGTTTCATCATGCTGATATTCTAAATTATCGTATTTTCTTATTTGGTGATAGAAAATTAAACTTGTCGATTTAATATCGACACGTTTCTTTTTATATTTAATAGAATGATAATTTATTATCGTTGGAGAACATATACCAGAAATATCACATCGCAACGTCAAATGCAAAAGGTAACTTTTATGCAAATTGATGTCATCTTGATGTATGTATATCATAGTTTAAGTGTATAATGGTATTTGATAACTTTGAAAAATCGAATTATTTAGAATTGAAAATCCTACTGCTCTAAAACTTCAAAGAAGTTTGTTTTAAAAAATGAAAATTTTAAAAAAATGTCATCTTTCTTAAACGAAAACTAATTTTAACAAATTAACTTTATATCCTTATTTTCACTTATTTCTAAGTAATAATTTGAGCTCTAAACGTATATAAATAATTTACTTATTTCTTACTTAAAAGGTGAAGAAAGACTTTTGATCCCCCACCTTTAGGAAGAAAAAAATGGTGAAGAAAGACTAGAAAGTGCATATATTTGGGTAGTTTCTGACTTTCTAATAATAAGGCAGTTTTAAAACATATACTATATTTTCACTACTATATAAAAAGGGCAATGTTTAACTACTTTAGAAAGAACAGTAGATTCTTCCATTTTGTCTCACTGTAACTTTTTTCTTCTTTTTTTTTTTTATTGATAGAAAGAAACGACGTCGTTTATCTTACGTATTTGATACAATGACTTTATTGCTTTTCCTCAATTTACGCGACGTGGAGGATTATCTCATAGATTCTTCTTTACTCTTTCTCCATTTTTACATGCTACAGCCATGCCTCTCTATTTCTCCATACTATCTCTTTCACCATTTTCTCACGCTATTAACCATGTATCTTTAAAAAGTTTATTTTTGAGCACATAAGTAAGTTTAAATAAAAATATTATTTTTATATATGTACGTAAAAGGTATATAATAATCATTTGGTTGACAAAAAATTAATATCAATCAAAATGTTTACGAACCGTTTAAATAATAATTTATTGAGGGGGTTAATTTAAGAGCAAAAGTGTGAATTTCATAAATATATGATTGAAAATATGTTAGAAGAAAAATAAATTTTAAAAAATGAAGACCAAGCATGTTAACAAATAAATATATTTATTTTTTGAGAAATGAGTTTTTTTTTCATTTTTATCATGAAATGATTCTAATTTTAATATGTTAGATGGTGCTTCAAAATTACATAATCTATCAAATATAATTTTTAAAATTAATTTTTATAAAGTAATATATTTTTATAAATTTTTTTTTTTTTTTAGTAAAGTAATAATGGAGGCATTATGTGATGGAGGCATTATGCACATAATGCCTCCGTTTAACGGAGGATCTTCCATAATTGTTATGGAGGCTCAAGCAACGAAGGCTAATGCTTGAGCCTTCATTATTACTTTACTAAAAAAAAAAAAAAGAAATTCATAAAAATATATTACTTTATAAAAATTAATTTTAAAAATTATATTTGATAGATTACGTAATTTTGAAGCACAATCTAACATATTATAATTAGAATCATTTCATAATAAAAATGAAATGGTAATAAAAATTCAATTCTCGAAAAATAAATATATTCATTTGTTAACATGTTTGGTCTTCATTTTTTAAAATTTATTTTTCTTCAAATATATTTTCAATCATGTATTTATGGAATTCACACTTTTGCTCTTGAGTTAACCCCCTCAATAAATTATTATTTAAACGGTTCGTAAACATTTTGATTGATATTATTTTCTTGAAGTTATAAGTAACTTTTACAATTATAAGTTATTTTTTTATTTTTAAATAACTTTAAGCGAATTTTTTTACTTATAAGCAACTTCTACATTTTAGAAATTTTTTTGTCTTATTATTTGTGTTTTTATTTTATAATAACTTTTTTACATAAAAGTTATTTTTTTACACAAAAATTACTTATAAGTAAAAAATCACTTTTATGTAAGAAATTATTAAAAAAAAATAAAAATACAAATAAGACAACAAATATTTGTAGGTTGTAAAAAGTTACTTCAAGTTATTTAAAAGTAAAAAAATAACTTATAATTGTAAAGTAACTACTTATAAGTAAAAAAAATCACTTCTGTGTAAAAAAGTATTATAAAATAAAAATACTAATAATAAGACAAAAAATCTTTCTAAAACGTAAAAGTTGCTTATATGTAAAAAAATTTTTCGCTTAAAGTAATTCAAAAGTTAAAAAAAAAAAAACTTATAATGTAAAAATTACTTGTAATTTAAAAATATATTAACTTAAAAATTTGGAGTAAATATTTAAATATATTTAATTTTTAAAATTAAATATTAACTTATATGTTAAATAGATAATTTATAAATAAAATATCATTTAAATAAAAAAAATATATCAAAAGAATCTCTCCATATTTATTATGGAGATTTGATCTCTCCATCCGAGGCTTGTTATGGAGAGATCAAGCCTCCGTATTACGGAGGATTGAGACTTCCGATGCTTGTTATGGAGATATTAAGCCTCCTTATTATGGAAGATTGAGACTTCCTAGAATGGAGACTTGATCTCTCCATCCGAGGTTTGTTATAGAGAGATCAAGCCTTCGTATTACGAAGAATTGAGACTTCCGAGGCTTGTTATAGAGAGATTAAGCCTCCGTATTACGGAGGATTGAGACTTCCAAACATGGAGATTAATTTTTTTTTTTTGAATTTGTTTATTAGTAATGTTTTTATTTGTTGATATTTTTTGTTATTACTATTTTATTTCCAACAATCACTTTATGAAGAAATTATTAACAAATAAAAATACAGACAAAAAATATTTGTAAAATATAAGAAGTTACTTATAAGTGAAAAATCTACAATTTTGACGCTAATAAAAATACAAAATTCGTGCAACGCACGTGTCAAAGACTAGTGGTTGATAAAATGTTGAAAATAAGTATTGATTTGTTTGTCAAACATGAAATTGATCCCGTAAATTATGCTCGTAAAGTTATTTATAAGCAAAAAGTTATTTACAGGATAAGTTGATGATTTAGTGACCAGTATTTTAGGTGGTTTGAAAAAAATTACGATCAAGAGAGCTATTTCTTTGTTCAACAAATTTCCTTTTTTGAGCCTTAACGTACTGAGGTAGCATACGAGTTTAACCTCAGCTTTCAAATTTTTTTTCCTCGATCTGAAAACATATGAGTTTAACCTCATCTATCAAATTTTTTATCCTCGATCTAGTGGCTATGCGGCTGATAGTTGAGATCGATGAGATTCGATATTTTTTTATTGAATTTAATTAGTTCGAACGTTCTCCTCAATCTTTAAATTTAATTCATAAGATGCACAGGTATATAACGAGATGAATGAAATTTCAGGCATTTTTACTTGAAATTGATAACCTAAGCCACTTGGTTTGGTTTTAAAAAATAAAAATAAAAGAGTTTAATTTTAATTTTCCGTTGGTTCTTCATTTTAGAGCCACTTTGTACCCCTCACACGTGGAACTCACATGTGGGGCCTCACGTGTGAGGGGCTGTAACCTTGCACAGCATGCAAGGAGAAAAACGAGGAAATGGTGGGCAATGGCTGCCCCACTCGGTGTGTTTATCATAATAGCCTTTGACCAAGTTATTTGTTAAAAAAAAAAAAGGGAAAATGTTATTATTTGTGCAGGGTCGAAAATACCCTCATTTTAGGAAAGAAGAGAAGAGAAAAAAAAGAAAAATTCAGCACGGACCGCTCGACGTCACTACGGACTGCCCGGACCTCACCAACTTCGACCAAGACCAGAGCTACCTCGATTCGCTGGAGACCGTCATTTTCTGGAAGGTTAGACATGTTTTCTATAAATAACTACTTTGAATTAGTGAAAGTTTGAATGTTTAGGATATGAATATGGGTTAAATTCATGTTTTTATGGTTAAAATGTAAGAAAACATCGAATTTGAGATTAAAATGTTGAAAAAAAGGGACGGAGCTCGTCGAAAATGGAGTTTCCGACGGCTCCGTCGGTCTGATGGTCCGTAACGGACCATCAACATGGTCCGGGTCCGGATTGGTCTGGACCACACCGACCCGGATTTT